TTTACCATCGCACCAAAAAAATTAAGATACCTAGGAATAAACTTAACTAAAGAGGTTAAAGACCTCTACTCAGAAAACTACAGGACGTTGAAAAAAGAGATAGAGGAAGACATAAACAGATGGAAGAACATACCATGTTCTTGGATTGGTAGAATCAACATCATTAAAATGTCCATACTACCCAAAGCAATCTATACATTCAACGCACTTCCCATTAAAATACCAATGGCCTTCTTCAAAGATCTAGAACGAACTCTCCAAAAATTCATCTGGAATAAAAAAAGACCCCGAATAGCTGCAGCGATCCTGAGAAAGAACAAAGTAGGTGGGATCTCAATGCCAGATATCAAACTGTATTACAAAGCCACTGTTCTCAAAACTGCCTGGTACTGGCACAAGAACAGACATATAGACCAGTGGAATAGAATAGAGAGTCCAGAAATTAGCCCGAACCAATATGCTCAATTAATTTTTGACAAAGGAGGCATGAACATACAATGGAGCCAAGATAGTCTCTTCAATAAATGGTGTTGGGAAAATTGGACAGATATATGCAAGAAAATGAAACTAGACCACCAACTTACACCATACACAAGAATAAACTCAAAATGGATAAAGGACTTAAATGTACGACAGGAAACCATAAAAATTCTAGAAGAATACAAAGGCAACAAAATCTCAGACTTATGCCAAAACAATTTCTTCACTGATACAGCTCCTAGGGCAGTTGAAACTAAAGAGAAACTGAACAAATGGGACTACATCAAAATAAAAAGCTTCTGCACAGCAAAAGAAACCATCAACAAAACAACAAGAAAACCCACCTCTTGGGGAAAACATATTTGCCAACGTCATATCTGATAAGGGCTTAATCTCCAAAATTTATAGGGAACTCATACAACTTAACAAAAAGAAGATAAACAATCCAATCAAAAAATGGGCAAAGGATCTAAATAGACACCTTTCAAAAGAGGACATTCAGAAAGCCAAGAGACATATGAAAACATGCTCAAAGTCACTAATCATCCGAGAGATGCATATCAAAACAACAATGAGGTACCATCTCACACCTGTCAGAATGGCTATCATCAACAAATCAACAAAAGACAAGTGCTGGAGAGAATGTGGAGAAAAAGGAACACTTGTGCACTGCTGGTGGGAATGCAGACTGGTGCAGCCACTATGGAAGACAGTATGGAGTTTCCTCAAAATACTGGAAATGGAATTCCCATTTGACCCTGTGATCCCACTTCTAGGAATATATCCCAAGAAACCAGAAACACCAATAAGAAAGGATATGTGCACCCATATGTTCATGGCAGCACAATTCACCATAGCTAAGTTCTGGAAACAGCCTAAGTGCCCATCAGTAGATGAATGGATTAGAAAACTGTGGTACATCTACACAATGGAATATTATGCTGCTGTAAAAAAGAAGGAACTCTTACCATTTGCTATAGCATGGATGGAACTGGAGAGCATTATGCTAAGTGAAACAAGCCAGTCAATGAAGGAAAAATACCACATGACCTCACTCATTCATGGATAATAAAGACGATTACAAATTTTTGAACAATAATAGGTACAGAGGCAGAGCTGCCACAAACTGATTGTCAATCTGCAGTGGGAAGACCAGGGAGGGTTGTGGGGCAGGAGGGAGGGGGGTAAGAGATGAACCGAAGGACTTGTATGCATGCATATAAGCATAACTAATGGACATAAGACACTGGGGGGTAAGGGAGGGCAGGGGATTGTCAAGGGCGGAAGGGGGAAAGGACACATATGTAATACCCTTTGTAATACTTTTAGCAAAAAATAAAAATTTTTTTAAAAAAGTTTGCTGATCCCTGATCTAGGACATGGTTAAGCCAAAAACCTTATCTCTAGGACTGTATGAACCTGTGTAAAATCATGAATTTAATTGTCCTGGAATGGGATTTTTTTGAGAGTGGAGGTTGCTGACAAGAAGAGCACCATTCTATGTGCCAAGTTCCTGCCTTTCTCCTGCTGCAAAGAGAAAGTTCTTTGTTTGGAGTATTGGAGAAGTAGCCAGCTTAACTCAAAGAACATAGTTAGTAGTTACCAGAATCGGATGTTAAAGAAGTCCTCAATTGACTGAGAGCAGAGATTGACTTATGAGAATAGACCCTGCAGGTCCAGCTTAACTTTTTTATTTCCTTTGATTTCAGGGAAAGGAGAAGTCACCTCTGGACCCTCGAGCTGGTTTTGTCTTTGCCCCAGTGAGTATTGCTTCTGCCTTTCCCAGCATGCAAAGAGCTGAGCTCAGCTGTGTCCAGGGCAAGTGAGAGGGCAAAGCTAAGCCTCCCTCCACTGCTTTGTGTCCAGATCCGATTTCTTTTTAGTGGATCCCCTGCTCTCCCTACCCCCTGCTCCTGTGCTCCCTTACCCCTAGCCCTTCCTGACCCTAGCACCCTTAGTTTCCCAGTTTTATGATCTGTGGTTCTTTCATCTTACCTCATATTTTTCATGTGTGTTTACAGTGTCCCCATGAACTTCCTTGTCCCCAGTTGACAGCCTCTAAGCCCCTGGCCTGTAGCTTTTCCCAGGCTTACCATCCCATCCCCTTCATCTGGGTATGTACCTGGGAATATGGCAGCAGGGAGGAGGTAGCTTGGGAAAGCAGGATGAAAAAGAACCAGGTGGGAGGAGTTGGAAAATTCCGAGAGCATTTGTAGGGCCTGAATGTGCATGACCTAGAATATGTAAAGGGCTACAGGAATGGGGGTCAACATTTTCCCCACATCTTTTCCCCAAAAACAGTCACTCTATCCTTACCTCAGAGCAAGAAGCCAGGGAGGAAAAGTTCTCGATGGTAATCCTAGCCCGGAGGTCTCCAGAGGAAGCTAATCGCTGGCCCCGGGTCACTCAGCCTGTCCTTAAATGGCCACGCCATGTGCACTGTCACCTGTGCTGTCCAGATGGGCATATGCAGCATGCTGTGCTCACAACCCGCCGCCATGGCAGGTACGGAGGCTGTGACCACAATTACTGGGAGGTGGCAGGAACCCACCCCCCACATTGACCTCTCTTTTTCATAGGAATTTGTATCGTTGTGCCCATGTCAGCGCCTGGGGAGATCTTTCACCTGTGACCACCCCGTCTGAGCTTCTTCCGTCCCCTGTTGAAGATCCCCCTGAGAGTTAACAAGGATGTGTAACAAGAGTTTTCCTGCATCGTGCCTGACAAGGCTAAAGCCACCTGGTATCCAGGATGGGAGTGTAACGAAAAACACAGGTTTAATGCCGGCCACAACGAAAGCCAAACTCATGAGGCAGGTGCAAAAGGAAAGAGGTTTTATTCTGGTGCTGCTCAACCTGGGAGAATGGTAGACTTCTGTCTCAAAGACCATCCCCCTTTCCTGCTCAAGCTGTGGTTCTTACAGTAATAGGGAGAGGAGGGCTTTTTATTTTTCTACCCAATTATTTTGCTAGCTTACAGCTCTCTGGGGCCCTGTCCTTTCACATTTCGAGCTTTGGGCCCTGCTCAGGCCCCGTCCATTCATATTCCTCGAGTGCAGTCCATTGGTCTTTTTAGCTTGCCACGCCCCGGGGCCTGCCCATTCATCTTTCCAGCCTTTGGCGCGTTCAGTGTAAGACCCGCCCTCTGCGCCATTTTGGCCAATGAGGAGACTCCTCAGCGCTCCAACTGACTGTTCATGGTAACAGGAGTGCTGGTACTCCTATATATCTGCATTTGTTTGAGGTTTTAATAAGAATTATAACTTTTCAAAGAATGGGAATAAGTCTTGTGATTCTTAAAAGGTATAGAGGTCAGTCATCACGGCCTATCCAGTAACGAAGTGAGTCCTCAGAGATTCAATGCCTGTCTCCCCACAGAAACCTCAAGCTCAGCCCCTCCTGTAAGAATACTGCTGCTTCTCCCAGAGACCGGGACTTCCCAGGGAAGTAATGGGTAGTGGGGAACGCTGCCCCCAGCGCTTTGAGAACTGGCTCAACAGGTCTCAGGGTAGTTAGACGGGCCACCTGTATAGGTGACCAGCAGCTGCCTGGCCTCTGTTTTTCTCCCTCCTTCCTTCTCTTTTATCTCTCTCAGGGTTCATCAGCTCCCCAGAGTTTGCCTCATGAATGTCCCTCAAGAAACTATCCCTTCAGGACTGAGTCATCTATCTCAACAACGGTATGTCCAGGCAGAGACTTTCATTTACTGGGTTCATTTCTGTGTTCCCCTAGACCTTGCTGTTTCAGAGCTAGAGCAACTTTCTGTGTAATAAAACTCTCAGTCCTTCTCCCACAACCTATATCAGGAAGTAGGCACAGTCAGAAGTTGTAACAGTTTCAGTGTTGTAATACTAGAAATCTCAACTCCCATAGACATTTTCATACCTGGAGCTATTTTTCTGAAGTTACAGGCTAGGGGAGTCCCCTCATCTAGTTCCCAGAGTGGCAGCAGCACCACTCCTTAGCCCCACCTCCTTAACCCCAGGTGGCCCCAAATCCCCTCTGAAAGGGTAAGGTTCAGGTATCAGCATAGCAGCCTATAAGACTTGCATTGGGGTGGGGAGGGTATGGAAGGCTTAGATCAAATGTCCTGAGTGAGCCAGGACCAGATTGTCTCCAACACAAAATAGCTGGGAAGTAGCACCATAGACTGTGCCATTTTGGATTAGACCAGCCCCAGGCATGAACTAAGTCCACAGCCCTTGGATTAGTCATGGAACTGAAGAGAAGACAGAGCACAGGGCTGTGCCTGGCAGGGAGTCTGGAGTTTCTGGTTTCCAAGTTCAGAAGGCATGAGCCAGGGGAGGGGCCTCCATGTAGGGGGAGGGCAGGAAGATGAGGCAGGGCCCCAGCCAGCTATGCAAGGCTGCACAATTAGGCAGCACAAAACAAAGAGAATCCAACAGCTTCCTGAGGCTCAGGAGTGGACACTACAGCTTTGACCACCTAAGGCACCACTCCTGCTCCAAAGCTTGTAACTTCGTTTGTCATTCTGAGGTCTTTTTATCCTGTACCCCAAGGATGGAGCCAGTACTAGAAGTAAAAATTGGCTGCCTCTTTGCCATGCTGGTTGTCACATTGGTCTGTGGCCTTATTCCCATCTGCTTCAAATGTTTCAAGATTCAGGCAATCAGAGGTATAGCTCTTCTGTATCTTTGCCCCAATAACCTGACTTCAACCCTGTCACCCTACCCTAACACTTGCTCTGATTCTCTTGCCATCCCCATGCTTGGATGTTGAGTGTTCCTTTTTGCTCATTAGTCACCTTTGTCCATCTCCTCATTGCCAACTTGTTGTAACTCCTGCTTTTCATTAGGTCAACTCCCGCGGGGCCTCAGCCTCCTGAGCTGCGTTTCTGCAGGCGTTTTCCTGGGAGCAGGTTTCATGCACATGACTGTTGAAGCCCTGGAGAATATTGAATTCGAGATCCGGCAGCTCCGGGTGAAGGTGAGCAGCTGAGGTATAGGGCTAAGAAGCCAGATGATGAGCAGAACCAAGGGGAGAAAGTGGGGAAAGTGATAGAGCAAAGGACGTGGGTGGAACAATAGAGACAATGACAGCTCTGTGTTGTGTGGAATCATGATGGCATGTCAGATTAGACTGTAAGGAAAGCAGTGGAGCTGAAGGAAGAGGGCAGGAAGCTGAGCTGCTCCATCCCTCATCTATTTTCTGCTTTTTTTCTCCCTAGAACAGTGGAGGAAATTCTTCTGGAGATCCTAATTCAGCTTCTGTAAGTATCTCTCACACCCAACCTGGAGGGTGAGGAGAACCAGAGACTCTTCATACCCAGATCCTTTTGAGGAGAGGACGTGAGGAATACCAGGAATCCCTCTGCTCCTCAGCTCAGA